TTCAATTGTATAAATAACATAACAAGAGTTGAAAAAAGGACTATGTACATACATCAGACACTGCAGTAAAGTCAATAAATAATTAAGGTAGGCGTTAAGCATCCCTTTTCGTAAAAGGTATCCACCCCCTCACACTTGCGATGTTCTGATTAGTGGATACAAAGAATTGCAACGAACGATTTAATCATTAATTGGTCATACAAGGAATGAATAAGAACACTTCAACACCAACAGAAGTTACACACGACTACTCACCTTTCCAATCCAACTATCCCTTTTCCAACAACTCCTTGAGAATGATCACCCTAACACCACCCTGAAACTGGCGTATGCTTCTCTTGCTAATACTTAAGCTAATTTTAAAGACCGTGCAACGTCACAGGGATATGGTACTGTTACAATGCGTACCAAGAGGGTTGGCAGAGGGAAGAAAGGCGACGAAAAGGCAGTACACTATAATCGTTGCAAATTACGTATGCATTTACAATTGTGATCATAATGCCCCGCTTTATATGGACGAATGAACACGTCAGGGATGCATTATTGTAAATAGCTCTACTTAGTGCTACTGGCTTTCCTAAGCGTAATATTTCTATGGTGCAGTACTACTTCGAGACATTATGCAGCTATCACACAAAGTTCTGACCACAGTGTGACCAGGGGGCCACATCTCACCCATCCTTATCGAATAGAACGGGGGTATATAGGATCTAAGAATGTAAACGCGACGCGTATAGTTCCTGCATCCTTGTCGTAGCATAGGATAAGTGTTTATGTCTGAAATAGCTTCAGAAGCAGCACTTGACAATTCACTAGTCTTTGCGAAATACGAAGGAAGTCGTCCATCTTTATTTAGCATTTCAATGCTTAATAAATAATACACCGTACAACACCAATCTCAATTTTTCGACTACCATGAGGATGCACCAAGAACGGACTATGCATCACAGTCTTTAACTTCCTGATAAGATTTTTGTGTTATTGTCATAGCAGGTAGCTAAGCGAGTTGCAACGGTTGAACTGGCCTCGCTTGTTTTTTTAAAATGCCTTACAAGTGGCACCAAGCTCGAGTCTAATCGTCTTATCGCGTCATTAGTAGACATACATTGCAATTTGTGGCTGTTTCGATCCTCATTTATTTACTTTGACGGCGACGGCTCTCGATACTTTGTTCACTTCTCCAGTCGGTAGGATGTCGGATGGTGTAATGTTATAAACATCAATTGTTTTCTTAATGGACCTAGTAGCGACTTCATAAATCAAATCGGAAGAGCTGTCAATTCTCTACTTGTTCAGTAAATTCTGACTGAAATTTAGCGGAACGTGTTACCTCTATCCGAAAACTTTTTTGCGCTAAGCGTTGAGCGGCCTTTTGAAGGATTAGGTCATCCAATTGTCAAGAGCCTACCCCACAAATACTTGCAGCTTGCACGGCGTAATGACGTGAAGCAGTAAACCTACTTGAATGGAAGACATTGTAAATCTTTGTATGGGCATAGCTGCTCAAAGCTCACAATTTTGAATCCTCACGTAGCTTCCTCGCCTTAAATACTGTTAAATGCAATTACAGGAATATAACCTTGTTACGTGTGCAATCGTTTGTGTTAACCAGAGCACTACACTCACTGAATCTTAACTTAGCTACTATGTGACTCTTTGGCTTGGATACGAGTTATGCTGCAATGATTATAGTACGTAGCGAGCTTAAAGAATTTTTTCTTTATAGCAAGACCGAGAAAAAAACATGCAGTTGTCTTCTAAGGCGGGAAAGCAGAGCAACAGCTCAACCAAAATTCTTTCGATAATTTTTTGTTGCATATCTTTGTATTGAGCAATCAGAGTATCGCAAGTGTGAAAAGGTTAATCGTTTTTTTTGTCGGAATGGAATCTGAATAACGCCTCTCTTCATTAAAATTTTTTATGTTGATACAACCTCATCCAGAGCCACTTACTTCACTAAACCCCCCAAACTAACATCCACCTAAAACCTGCAACATACTAGACCTAAATAACGCTTACACAAGCACTCACCTTGGGTTTGTAAAATTGGTCCAGGTCGTGCCTGATTGTCGTAGACACGTAGCCATCCTAACCGTTTAATGTGGCCAATAATAAGTTGATCAACCTCATTAAAGGAGACGAAGGTATTCAGACAGAGCTCAATAATCGAGAGATTCTGGACGCAGTGTAGGAGAAAAAGAAATGTAGGAAGGAACTGTAGCAGAGAAGTAGGGAATAAAAGACATACGTACTAGTGCGAGCAGATTTTGTTTTAGGCAATTTGTTCAGATCATAAATTTTGGTTCAGAAAAACCCCCACCATCCTGCGTTTAGAATACTCTACGGCCTACAGAGTGACATTCGCAGTGCCAAAACCAAACAAAACACCAAAGATAATTATGTTGAATAGGTTTGCCACCCGTGTTTGACATCGATACACTTTTATCCAGCCTTGTGGATATTATGCATTCGTTATTCGTTAATTGCAGATCCAGCATCGACCGATTGCACGCATTTCAAAAACCACACCAGTCGCATAATCACCACCAATTTGAGACGAAATTGATGTGTATGGCGCTATTCTATGAACCACTGATCAATACAAGGCTCCAGGTTCCAAGAGTAGAATGGACATCGAAAAATGATTTTATTAAATTTTAGATGTCCGGCTCAAGGGAAGCGGTTGACTTAGGCGAGGTTTATAGTGTTACCGATCTACTTCTCCTTGGATGTCCACTAAAATATAAAAAGGTCTCTGCCAAAAATTTTGCCTAGGTCATGAGTATGACCCATTGATGAAGTTGCCATGTCACGACTACAAACGCCGTGCCCGACAATCTTCTGAAGGATACTCGCAAGCGAAGTTCTGTTTCGATGTTACTAAACAAAAAAATGCAGTTCATAGCTATTCGCTACATTTTAACAAAAAAGGTGATGTTCAAAACGTTGATGAGAGAAATCCGCGTCTTTAAAAAGTAAAGCGCTGCTTACTTTCGGTTGTTGCCTAAGACTGCATCAAAAGTTGCTACTTGATTATGTCTTGTAATTGTGCAATGTTAGATACGTTGGCGGCAACATCGAATAATTCATGCAATGCTGCTGTACGAATGGCCATGCACTTGTTCCCACTTTTTTTTGTTACTTACGGACCACGCAAGAGGCTTACTACTTTTTAGTGTGTAGTAGCCGCAGCAACGACGCGTGCCGTGGTGCGTGATCCTAATTACGTATCGCACGGCCCGTCGAACACGCTGCACGACCATCCAATCGTTTCAGTGTGGTAATACACGTGGCCAGCCGTGACCAGCCATGTTTTTTTTGCTTGTAATACGACGGTAAAGCAGTCAAAATAAGCAATTGCACGATTATGACAAAAATCCTTGTTTCAAGCCCACGTCATACTTATAAAGTAATATGCAGTAAAAAATATTAGCACATCAGGTCTTATGATTGTTAGCAGCTTCGATGCATTTGAGACGAATACACGTGACTAAAACATAATCGTTCAAAATTGCCGCATATTTACATGTTACCGCTGTCAATGTTAAAATCGAACTTAGACATTAGATTGGTGGCTAATCGACGTCTCTGTGCTTCTTTCTTTCTCTAATTTCCTGTAGCTTTTATAGCGACCGTGAGAGGCCTATCCGATCGATCCCCTATCACAGTTCGGGGTCTAGCAGGGGACGATCTCCTCGTAAGATGGGTGCCTTAAGAGGGAGGGGGGGGGTAGGTAGGGTCAACAATCTTGAGTGGCTACTGCTGAAATTGATGAATGAAACGGTTGATACAACCCTTGTAGTAGAAAGCGTGGTACACACAAATTCTGGCCTTTAGTGGTGCGGGTTATAAGACTGGCGCGGGTTACGCAATGTTTGCATTTGTTCGGTGCTGAATTTGCGAATTACTCATAAGTTGTACGTTGCCGACCACACTACGACCACTTCAGGCGTCCAATCCTACGAGATAGCGGAGATTATTTGTTACCGGAGGATAAGTTATTAGAGATACCACCGTATAGTTATTCCTCGATCAAATCTTATCCTCATAACTCATGAAACTTAAGAAATCTCTTCCACCGCGCTTGCTCTATGGTTGCAACTCACAAGACCGAACCTATGACTATTACGAATTTGTGAGTTCTCGAGGAACAAAAAGACATGCGATAATACTCCTGAGCTAAGGAAGTTCTTTTTCCATGTAAAAATGCACTATTGATGGGGGACAAGTATAAAAGTCCTTTGAATCCAGGATAATAGAGTGCTCTGAGGGGTAGAAGCATAAGAATAGACATCTTAAATACAATCTGCATTGACCATGAATGCAATAGAGATCCGTACCTGAATAAAAAAGTATTGATCATTTTACACCATCCGTTTTACTCTTTCCACTATCTGAAACCAAAATAGGCTTGTTCCAGATTTTATACCACAGCACATGGCACAAGGTCACGCGCCGCATGATTGCGAATGCACTTATTGTCCAGAAGAATGAGCTACTCTAGCTTAGAGCTGATTACCGTTATGTCCATGTTTCTACGAAAGAGGTAGCTGTCATAGAGTACGGTCTTGTCAATAAATCGAGGTTGTGTCAGCCATCACGCTATTAATTGGCTCGTTGCATCATGACTGTGATCATAACGATTGTTCTTCACATGCAGCTTGTCGAACAGTGTGTGTATTGGCATACACCTGTTTAGAAACTCTTGCGTCCCTTTTACTTGGTTTTTTTAAATACCGCGTACTACGCTGCAGAAGCCTTCGGATACTCCTGTCGGAGAAGCGCAATTTAATCTTTTAAAAACACACCTACTCCCTCAAGCATAACGCGTTAGCTTTGCTGCTGAATTGTTCGGCATCTAGCACCAGTTTGTGTGTTAAAAAGGTCTTTGAGCATTTCATGGTTGTACACTCCTTCATTTCGAGTCACTCCTACTGTAACGGGGCACTCTTTGACTGGGTGCCGCGTTACACCTGGTAGCACTTCGTAGTTCGTCCAACATGAACATTTTGGACGAAGAAGACGACATTTTTCACGTCACACGTAAAGGCTACTCCCATCTGTGTAGCCCAGAATGGACAGCAGTCGACCGCACGAGTGTGCTCATGGGCGAACCCGCCATCAGTGGCATGTTGGAGTCTCTAAGCAGAGACCAGCAACATGCTGCTATCTACAAGTTCCTGCAAGGGGAACTTGCAGTCTAAGGACAGAAGATAGCCTTGCTACAACACCAAAGCTCTCATCAGTCGATGGGTGGGCCGACGCACATGCATCGACCCGAAAACTTGAAGATAGACACCTTAAGGTACAAGGGAACCGATGAAGATTCTCTTGTGAGATGTTTCGTCGAGTTAGACGATGTCATCAGGGCCCGTCACATAGAGGGTGACGAGATGCAAGTCACCTTCGCCCTGTCGAATTTGACGGAACGTAGGGCTCAAGCTTCACGGCCCAAACGTGTTTGAGTCGTTGGAGATCTTGAAGTCTCGGATTAAAAAGACGTCTGAGCCACCGAGAGCCGAGTACAGAGCACGATCTGCACTCTTGAGGCTAAAGCAAGGTAAGCGTGACGTGCACGCTTACGCACAGCACCTGCGCTACCTTTCAAGTAGCGTCACGGAGAACCCTGTTGATGAGCACACGCCCATCAACGTGTTCATCTACGGCCTTGTGGATGGGCCGGTGAAGACCTACATGTTCCGAGAGGACTTCCACACGCTGGAAAAGGCGATAGCGAATGCGAAACAAGAAGACTTCAGTATGAAATAGTCTCAGGCTAACTCTTCAAACGATCGTCCGACGAGGCGACAGGAAACAGGAGGTACCGAAAAATGGACCTCTGTTACATCGAGAGCAGGAACTCTCGCTCTCTGAGTCATAAGCGAACGGCAAGATGCCATCGCTGTTTGTGGATTGGACACTACGCTCATGAGCGTAGTGTCCCAAGCACTGCGACACTTCCGAAAACAGGACGTGATGACCGCCGTTGGCCAAGGAATGGTCCGAGGCGTGGGTCCGACCATGTCGCTAAGCCGCGACAGCACGTCGGACCGTCAAAAACAGTCAGGGTCAGTAGGGGCGAAGCACCCTGCTGATCTAGCAACGTCAAGAGAAGTTACAGGAATCTTGACGAAGATTGCTCCCAACACACAGTCTCTGTGTGTTACTGCCCTTGGTGATGAGGAGTCTCTCATCACTTTGAAGATCGAAGTGACAAGTGGAATGTCACTTCGCGCCCTAGTTGACTGTGGTGCGTCGAAAACTTTTATTTGAAGCAAGTCGCTAAGGGATAGTAGTCTCAACTATGTTGACCGAGAGTTTCCTCCAACGAGGATGGCGGTGTGCCTTGCTACAGGCGCATCAGTAACAGTAAACAAACGTGTAGTGGGAATCCAGTACACGCTAGAATAAAAGCAGTACGATGATGACTTCATCGAAATAGATTTGGATGACAAATTTGATGTCATTTTCGGTCTGCCATGGCTTAGAAAATACCAGCCATGGGTCTGCTGGCAGCATCGATCCGTGAAGATGCCTGCCGTTTGTTCATCGGATGGTCATCTGATGAACGTCTTGGAGCGTCCACAAGCGTGTGGATGTACTACGAGTGAGTGCGATGGCCTCACTTGTGGTACGGTCGTTAGTACGAGTGCACAAGATCCAGTGTAGAAGGCCACTGCACTGTGGAACCAGCTTCCGGCACCTTTGTAGAGACACAGGCTGCGCCGAAGGTTCACCACTTGAAACGATCGAGTGGACTGGAACACGGATGCACACCAAGAAGGTTGCATCCGAGAAGAGAGGTTAGTGTTGTTCAGGATGAACAACACGTTGCAGCGAGATCGACTAACTGAGAGTCGATCGTCGAGCAAGCCCGCTCGACTGAAAGAGAGTCGATCGAAGAGGACGTGACCGTGATAGTGCACGTAACGGAAGAAAATTCCGGCGTTCCTGAGAGCAAAAACTCCCGAGAGGGTTATGTTGAGGGTGTGGATCCCAACCACCTGCGGATGTGTTTTCCCAGGAAATCACCGAGTCAGTGAATGTCTTGGTGAATGACGGATCAAGCTTAGGCGCTTACACACTTATTCTGGTGACGCCCTCAAAGTCAGCTTCGGAGGTGGTCAAGTTGCCAGCGCTAGAATCTATAAGATTCTTGCGAGATCTGCGTAGTGACAAGATCAAGCAGATCTGCGTACTCGTCACAGAGGACGAGTAAGTCGCCGATATTCGTTCGTCACAAGTGTTTGCTGAGAACAAACGGGTTCTCAGTAGCTCAACTATGGAAGAGAGAGTCCTCAATGAGAAGACTTGGATTGAGCGAAACACGTCTCAATCTTAAGAGTCTTAGAATCTAAACCCTTGTATAAGGATTTGATTGAATTGAGGGATGTTTTCCTTGAATCCGTGCCATGCGAGCTGCCCAAAGACAAAGGCACTCGGCATGAGATCGAACTGAAACCCGGTTCGAAATACTGTGTCATGAAGCAGTGGCCACTGCCTCGTGAACAGGTCACAGCGATCGACAAATTCTTTGCCGATCGATTAGCGGCTGGTCATTTGAGGGAATCAACATCCCGACACAGCTCTCCGACCTTCTGTGTGCGAAAGGACACAGGAGGGTGGCGGATAGTGCACGCGTTCAACCATTGAACGCTGCAGCGGTACCGGCTCAAACGCCGATCCCAAGAAAGGATGTCATCATAGATGGTATGGCAAAAAGTACCATATTTTCATCCATGGATCGGATGGATGGATTCTATCAGATCCTTGTGCGTGAGCAGGATATCCCTTACACAGCAGTGAGCACCCCCAGTGGTGTGCTCTGGGAGTGGCTAGTAATGCCACAGGGGATAAGTAACGCCCCTGCAACGTTTAACAGATGTGTTAAGAATCTGTTGCGATCGGTGCGCAATTTCGCACCGATTTGCTTCGACGATGTCTTCGTCGATAGACGGTCTATGGATGGAAAGACAAACGTGGAGGTTCATAGAAATCCACGTCCGGAAGGTTCTTACGCTAATGAGAAAGCGTAAGTTGTTCGCGAGCCTCAAGAAGTGTATATTCGCAGCGAACGAAATACCACTTCTTGGCTGCATCGTGGGTAAAAACAGTGTACGCCCTAATCCGGAAATGATCAAGGCGATTAGCGACTGGCCTGTGCCAGTCGACGTCAAGGGACTTTGAAAGCTCCTTGGCTTGGAAGCGCATTTACACAAATAATAGCGCAACTATGCCGAGATGACCTTGGATCTCTCTCGTCTGCGAGAGAAAAACGAGAGGTGGTCATGTAGCGCTGAGTTTCAGCAGTCCTTCGAAAGTATCAAGAAATGCTTGAAACGATCGTCTGTGTTGGCGATTGCAGACCAGGACAGACCATTTCATGTGGTCTGTGACGCCAGCGATTTTGCAATCGGCTGCGCGTTAACGCAGTACGACTTAGACGGTGTTGAGCGTGTCTTCTGTTATCACTCGCGTCAGCTGCAAGCAGTTGAGCGAAATTATCCGGTGCATGACAAGGAACTCCTTGCCATGAAATATGCACTGGCCAAGTTTCGGGTATGTCTCTTAGGAGATAGGCCCTTCATCGTTAATACTGACCATGCGTCGTTACACACGGCCGTAAACAGTCCACACCTCTTGCAACGTATGGCCAGGGAGACCTTATGTCGTCGCTGATGCTCTTTCGCGTCGGCCCGATTTCGAGCCGACTGCTCAACCCAACAGTAAGGGTGATTCCACTGTCGCGACACTAACAGTGGGTGTTTCGTCGTCGAATCTGTTAGATGACGTGCGAAAAGCATACACAGAAGATGAGTCTCTTCTGCGGTTGATGGATTACGTATCCAATGCGTGTAATCAAGCTTTGAAAAGCTTGTCGTCTCAATACCGCTCTTCAACCGAACGGGATTCTGTCCGTGACGGACTGCTGTACTATACAGCAGTCAACGGCGACACACCTCGTGTCGTCGTTCCGGCTCATAATGATTTGCGATTGCGCATCATGTATGAGTGTCACGATGCCCCAACAAGTGGACACCGTGGTAGAGAAAAGACTTACCTCACGGTGAGTCGTGACTTCTCCCCGCCACTATGAGTTTGTGCGGAAATGCATTCGCGCTTGCGAAGTTTTTTAACGGGTGAAGTCTAGTCTTTCATCCCACGCACCCTTACAGCCGCTTCCAATTCCGGCAGAGTGTTGGCAGTCCGTACCGATGGACTTCGTCTTCGGGTTTCCCAAAGAAGCTTACACGAATGTTGGGAGTCTTGTGTTTGATGATCAAGTCAGCAAGATGGTACATCTTGTTGCTGTACCGGAGTCAATCACCGCCTAGGGCTGTCCTCGTGTCTTTATCGATACTATCTTCCGACTTCACGGGTTACCCCGTCAACTCGTATCTAAATGGGATCTCCGCTTTACAGTGGAGTTCTGGCAATCTGTGTTCTGTTCAATTGAATCACGTTTAATGATGTCGACTTCTAACCATCCAGAAACAGATGGTCAGACGGAACGCGTCAATCGCGTCCTCGAATAGATACTTCGAGGATGTGTCCTCTCGTTTAAGAATTAAAATGAGTTCTTGCCGATGGCGGAATTCGCCATCAACAACTCGGTGCACGCGTCGACAACGCATACACCTTTCTTCGTAAATGGCCTACGCCATCCACGTTTACCCTCCTTCTTAGAGTGTGACACTAGTTTAGGGGGGGGTGGACTCGATCGAACAGATAACCTGTCTGGTTTTAGCTCATCACCCGTCGCCAATGGTGTCGACGTGATGGATGCCGATGTCGATGGGGTCGATGTCGATGATGATGACGACGATGCTGGCATATTCAGCATCGCCAATGACCGCCAAAGTGAGGACGATGATACCCTCACTGGTGAAGACAACGTTCTTTCAGCAGTGCACTCGAAGCGCACTGCTACTGACAAGGATGAATCATCAGAGGAATTTCTACTGACTCGCGAAGCGGTTGTCCGCTTCGTTGAAGACTCTATTGCAGATGCACTCGACGGACAGAAGAGAAACGCAGACAAACATGGAAGAGCAAATGTTCTTTCGTTTGATATAGGAGACCTAGTTTTACTGTCTGCAGTAAACTTACCGAAGCACGCGGTGACAAACGTGGGCAGCAGTAAATTACTGCCCACGTACATCGGTCCATTTCGACTGTTGCGCCGAATGGGCAACGCATACACGATTGAACTGCCCCGTTAGATGCGCACGCATCCTACGTTTTACGTTGGACGTTTCCGCTCGTACTATCAGTACGAGCCCTTTTTGAGATGCGAAGAACACCTCCGCGGTTGAGAGCCAAGACCACCCTCGAGTGGTCCCGTTTCATTGATCCAGTCTGGTCGACTAGCGAAGCGACCTGTTCACGCAGCTCAGTGATGTCTCGACGAGCTACAGCCAGCACATCACGAAGAGAACGAGTCAAACGTTCGTCCTCAAGTTTCGTGAGCGCAAAAGCGGCACGATCTTCCGAACGATCGTGCGTTAGGGAACTATAATGATCCCTCACAAGATCCTCAAGCCCATAACGCCGAGGTCGTAAATGAGCCAGGTCATCTTGCAACTAATTCGTTAGACGGTTTAGCTCTTGAACATCAACTTGATCCGACCCTCGAGCCGGATCAGGTGTTCACACCGCCACCACATCCTTTGGTGAACTCAACCGATGGTCAACGCTTCCTAGTGGAGCGTATTTTGACCCACCGCGACGTGAATAGCGTCCGGACGAGTTACTTCGTCCGCTGGCGTGGCTTTCCACCAGCTTGGGACAGCTGGGAGCCTCTTGTCCAGCTGATTGTTGACGTCCTTGGTCTCGTCGAGCAGTACGACGAGACCCACCCGCTGCGTTTATAGAAGGGCCGTCAGAAAACGACCTCCCCGAACGCGAGTACAGGGATTGCAAAGTGTCAATCCCTTCGTCCATCTCGGAAGAGATGCGCGCCCTCCAGTAGGGATCTTTAGAAAGGGACGCCTCCCTAGGGGCACGGGTCGAGTTGTCCAGGCACCCTGGACACGAATCACCCCACGAGAGACAGGATAATCCTGCCTCTCTTGGAAGCCGGTGCAACTGGTATCGCGCCCCGACTGGATTGCGTTTTTCAAACCTGATGCGAGCTGCATCAAGTTTTGCGAGCCAAGCCTCACGGCCAAAACAATCGATGTTGTGGGTGAGGGCGTTCCATCCCTGCACCAAGGCTTTTCCGTCCCGAACACGGCTATCATTGTACCACCGATGTTCGAAGAACGCATCGGTGAAGAATTCTTCCTCAGCATGGATAGTATCCGTGTTGAAATTATGTGGGCAAATCTTCCTGCAATCGAACAACGGGATTCGATCCCGTTCGGTAGTCGTGCCGGCCAACCGGTCGAACTCTCTGGATGGCGACATCCACGGAGACTCCACTTGAGGAGCGTGGAGCAGGACATTTCGGTCTCTGGCCTCTTGATTGTTGCCAGCATGAGCACTGGCACCAATGTTATCCCGATCCCTTGAGTTGCTTCGCTCGTGGTGATGTATAGGTGCGTCACCACCATACCCACGCGTCCTATCGCTGGATGGACTTACGTGAGGCGGAGTGTAGCGGAGCTACACAGCTCCTTAAGTCAGAGGAAGACTTAACGCTATACGAGCAACTTAGTTCTAAAGAACTAACGACTTTACGAGTCAACAAGCTTTATAGCTTCAGATCCCTGTTCCAGGGGACCTAACGATTCAGTGAATCGACAGCACTTAGTGCTCAAGAGTAGCTACCTCAAGGAGGTGTCGCTAACTCTCAGTGATCAGAGATCAACGATCAAGACGGCTCGCAAGCCACGTGTCTTTCAGATCAAATTGGGAACTGATTTTATTTTTGTTAAAGCCTATAGAATATCTTAATCCTACTCAAAGATCTTTCGTATCTAATGGCTGACACTCGTCAGCCCCTACAAACCGATAAGATATTCTATATCACCTTCACAGAAGCGAACCCTCAGGTGTGTAACACCTCTGGTACAAAGTACCATGATTTCGTGCAACCCCGTTACACCCTCACCCACCAGACTGACGTTTGCCAAAACGTCAATCGAACTCGTGTTCTCAGCGAGAACAGTGCGCGTACGGTGAACCTCACGGTAACGTACGCTCCAGCACGATGTCCTCATCACCAAACGAGTCAAAGGCTCTGTGTGACTACCTCGGAATAGAGGAAGAGGTGGACTATGGTAGCGATACCAGTGTCCGCGGTGACACAGGGACAACGTCCGGCTCACTGATGCCTGAGGCACAACTTTCGAACACCCCAAATCCGTTCGCTGAACGTGGAGGTGCGAGCGCGCCGCCAGCGCAGCATGCAGCATCTGGTTCTGATGAGACTATCATCGCGAACCCGCTCGATGAGCAACAACAACTGCTTGTTCAAAGAGAAGAAAACGCTCAGCGTTATGCACAGATGACTGCAACCCTTGAACGCCAGCGTGATTATGTGTTCACCCCACCCAGTGTGGAGGAACGTCTGCGTCAAGCGGCCGGCCAAACATTGGCAACGTGGGTCATTGGCCATGGGCCTAAGACTCCTGAGGAGGTGGTGAGCTGCCAGGCACTTCGTGAGAGGTACCTGGAGCCGCACCTAACGACTCAAAGTCAATACAAGGCACGCCTTGACATGCAAGCACGTGGTGCACCAGTTCCACCGATGAAGGGTATACCCATTCTCCTGCTCGCAGGCGAAACAGCGAGTGAAGAAGACGACGCCTTTGTTCACTGGGTGCACTATGTGCGTCGCCTCAGCAACATTTTTGCTTTAAGGGCTAGTGCCAATGTGGCTGATGTGCGTCTCGAACGCAAGCTTCGGTATGACAAAGCCAAGCTTAAGGCCAGAGGCCAATTGCGCAAGGGCACGCGCTATGCTTCGGATACTACGGTAGCCGCGAGTACTGGTCAGTCTGTGACCAAAAACCCGCCAACCCAAACCGCTAGTGGTGGCAAAAGGCCTTGGTCTCGAGATGACCATGACCACGATGCTCAAAAGCCTCCAAAGCATATGGGCAGTCTTGCCGAAGGGGTACCTCAAATTCCCATGAGTTTTCAGACTCAGGGTACACACGCCACTTTACCAGATACTTGTATTGGCCCTGACGACGACGTCGTTTCAGTAGTCTCTCGACATGGAATTGACGACACCCATGCTCATCGAGCAAAGTCGGTGGCGGCCGGTGTACCGGTGGAGGCCCACGAGAAATTGGTTCTCGAAGTGAAGGGTCTTCAAGAGGCCTTGGGTAAGTCCCAGTGCATGCTGGATGCGATGCAAAGCCGCCTTCAGGCGATGGAGCAAGCTCAAACTCGGAGCGAGGCTCAGTTGGACTTGCTGATTCGTCTACAGCAATCCGGGGCAGTGCCCTTGTCGTCGGCGCAAGCGCCTCCAAGTTCACATGGGAAGGATCCCGGTACGGCTTAAGTAAGCTTACGTAGAACACTGGATGTGTGCGCAATTTGCGCGGGAGGTTTAGCGTATACGCAAGTCCCTTCTTGGCCGTGACCGTAAACGGTCCAATAAAGCGTGGACGCAACTTTGTCTTAAAGACAGCAGACACTACATTTGTAGGTAGATTTTTAGCATTGAGTAGTACTTGGTCTCCGACCTCATAACGTTCAATACAATTTCTGCCTTTGGCATCAGCTTGTTGTTTTTGGGTATCTTGGCTATCAGCCATTGCGTCACGCACATGTCTTAAGACATTTAATCGCGTTGCGAGAAACTCGCTTACCTGTTTTTGAACAGTAGCAGGGCTGATATCAGCAAGCCGATCGGCAACCTCTCCCCCACCAAGCCCTGATTCACGTAGTGATAGCGTTAACGGAACGCGAGGGTGAGTGAGACCGTTTATATAGAACGGAGTAAAGCCTGTTGAGGGCATGGACAGCGTTATTCAACGCAAACTCAACAACAGGGAGCATTGAGCTCCAACGCCTAGGCGTATCAGCGCAAACACTGCGCAAAATGTCGTTGATGACGCGGTTTACACGCTCAGTTTGACCGTCGGTCTGCGGATGATCCGCTGTGGACATGTCCAACCGAGTGCCAAGCACCTTGAAGATAGACTTCCAAAACTTCCCAGTGAAGCGGGGGTCTCTATCAGAGATAATTGCCACAGGCAAGCCATGTTGGCGAAAGACACGGTCGATAAACAGCTTTGCTGTACCTTCAGCATCAATGCTATCCGGCACAGCCGCTAAGTGAGCCATCTTGCTCAATCGGTCAACAAAGACCACAATACCAGTGTTGCCTTACGAATCTTTCGGTAGGCCAAACACAAAATCCATGCTCATGGACTCCCAACAACCACTGGGTACCGGCAAACTAGCCAGCGCCGCCGCCGCATGTGCCGAGGGTTTTACCCGTTGACACGTTTCGCACGTACGCACATAGGTGCGCACCCACTTATAAAGTTTGGGCCACCAATAACTTTGGCTCACCGAGCTATAAGTCTTCTCACGACCGAGATGACCACTTAAAGCAGTATCATGTGCCTCATAGAGGATCCGATACTTTAGTTCCTCATCATGAGGTACTACAATACGAGGGTTGTCCTCAATATCCGTGCGATAGCACAACAGGCCATTATCGATGGAATATCGATGTAGCCTCGCACGTAAACGTGCCGACAATTCTATGTCCGAGTCTTTAAACTCATCGCTCCCAAGAGCACGTAGCAAAGCTACACACTGATCGTCCTTGGCATATGCCGCACGAATTAAGTCAGGGACTGACGACGATAGGGTCGTAACATGAGCAAGCTCATAGTCAGGTCGACGCGATAGCGCATCAGCCAAAGCGTTTTGCTTACCTGGCTTGTACTTCACCTCGAAGTTATATTCGGCAAAAAATGAAAGCCAACGAGCCATTCTCTGTGAGAGATGAGGCGACTGTGTCGCAGTGCGCAATGACGCATGATCGGTATAGATCACAAATGGCTTCGAGCCAAGCAGATGGACTCTGAATTTGACAAGAGCGTACTTCATAGCAAGTAGCTCTTTGTCATGAACAGGATAGTTCTTTTCAGCAGCTTTCAGCTGTCGAGATTCAAATGCGATGACGCGTTTGCGTCCGTCGACATCTGTTTGTAACAGAGCACTGCCTATGGCAAAGTCAGATGCGTCACAGACGACACTGAAAGGCCGACCAGAATCGGGCAAAGCCAATATTGGCGCATGAAGGAGACTCTCCTTAACTGCTTCAAAAGCATTATGTTCGGTGTTACCCCAACACCAACCCACATCCTTTTAAGGAGATTGGACAATGGCCGAGCCATATCTGCGTAATTTGCACTGTACTTATGTAAGTAATTGGCAAGGCCAAGCCACTTACGCAAGTCCTTTTGGTTCTTGGGGACTGGCCAATCGACTATGGCTTTTACCTTAGCGGGATCCGCTCGAAGGCCTCTCTTCCCAATGAAGCACCCTAGAAAGGGAATCTCTTCTGCACCAAAGATGCACTTCGATGCGTTCGCATACAGCTTATTCATCCGCATACACCCGAGCACCGCTCGTAAATGATCGATGTGATTATCCACATCTGATCGCCCATTCATTGCACGACTATGGACAAAAATGTCATCAAAGTACGTTTGTGCATAGCCTCGATGAGGTCTGAATAGTTGCGTTACCAACCGGTTAAATGTAGCCGGAGCGTTAGATAGCCCTTGTGGCATAACGAGCCACTCCCAAAGCATACCGCTCGGAGTACTCACCGCTGTTAGCGGAATATCGCTTGCTCGCATGAGCAGTTGGTAATAACCATCGACTAAGTCGAGTGCACTGTACAGTGTACATCCCGCCATATTGTTCTGAAGAACATCCTTTCTAGGAATAGGCGTCTGCGCCGGTATAGTGGCTGCATTAAGCTTATTGTAAGCATGCACAATACGCCACTTGCCATTTGGCTTTCTGACAAAATGTCGGTGTTGAATGGGGAGATTTACTCTCACGAACCATTCCAGCCGCGTGCTTAGCACGAAAGAAATCGTCAATGACGTCGCACTGTTCTTTAGGCAAAGGCCACTGCCGTGTTACACAGTATTTAGTTCCAGGAACCAAGTCAATCTCATGACGTACACCTCTATCGGGAGGTAAGGCAGAAGGTGGGTTGTGACACACCACATCTTAAAATTCCTTGACTAAAGGATAGAACGGATCCAAAGGATCTTTAAGGATCGAAGATCCACTTCGTGCACTAAGTGCCGCCTTTGTATCCTCTAGGACAGACTCATCCATTAACGAGGAAGAATTTAAGTCAGTATCAGGTCTAATGATTGCTAACTCGGATAACTCTCCTGCCTTCAAGGCCTGGCTAAACTCGCCATCAGACATTTCGTCTAGCTCACACAGAGCGTCCACAGATGGAAGGGTTT